GGCAAAGTGTTTTATTTCCTGTCTCCCTTCCCTCACCCCCAACCACTTGCAGCAGATGACTGCGCCTCCCCTGAGCCTGGCTTTGCCGTAGGTTTCTTCCTGTTAAAATGGAGTTTTTTATCCTGCTGTTGCCAAGTATTTGCTCATAGCTTTTCGTCCGATTGTTGGGTTTTTTTCTGTATTATTGTAGGGTCTTTAAGTGACAATATAAAGTGCCTGTGAAATAATTAAGTAACTTGTGAAATAAGTAAATACAGACGTGCTGCTAAAGTATGCCTGGACTGTACCTGGTGTAGCACATAATCTGGTTGCGGTGTGTGGAGTCTCTCTCCACATCACAGGGGACTGACAGGGTGTTTGACACCAGGGTCACACGGTTTCCAAACATGTCGTCTACTGGATTCAGCTGGAACTGCCGCTCCTGTGCAAAACCTGGAAGGGAAAAAAGGGGGCAACAAAATCTCAGAAGGTAATTGTTTTTGAGGCTTAGAGTCACATCTTTCAGCATCATCCCACCAGGCCAGCAGGCACAAGGACTCTCAGGACAGTTACAACTGCATTAACAAATCTTCTTCAGCTGCATCTTTTAGCTACAGAATAGCTTAAAATTGACTTATATCTAAGAATCCATCATAACTTGTTTTACAAAGTAAAATAATGCCCACACTACTTTTTAAATTTACTTCTAAACCTCATTACGGATCTCCTACCATCTCCTTGAATGGTGAGTCGTGTGGCTCCATTGACGCTTCCTATGCGTGGGGACACGGAGGTTATGCGCTGAGCATCTGCAAAATTGAATTAAAACCGCATGAGAAATCTTTTTTCCTCGAGTGTGAACAGCGAGCTAAAACAACTGAGTTTAGAATAGAAGTTGACTTAACTTACCGCAGCAACACCAAAGAGCGAAGAGGAGAGCTGCGGCCTTCCACTTGACCTCCATCCTGAAGAGCTCCCAGGTTACTTTGCTGCCTCACCTGCGCCCCTCTCTCGACCGATTGTGAATCACGTGACACAAAAGTACTATTTATAACAAAAATATAATTGAAATTTATTGACAGCCATAGAATAAATATATGTGGTAAAATGTACAATTATTAAAACAAATATTATTTTAAAAAATTGTATTTTCCATTTTCCAGTGTGACATTTAAGTGAACAAAACTCACCTGCTGTGAGAAAATTTTGTTTACCTGTTGATTGGGAAACTGTCAGTTCAGGGACGCGCACTACCTTTTTATAACGTGCTCAGGGTCCCGCCCCTCACCTGAAACTGGGAGGAGACTGGAAGAAGTTTTTGCTGCATTTATCAGATTTTCAAGATGTCTGCATTTAAAAACAAAAGCGAAAGTGAGTCAAAAACCGTGATAAATAATGGCTCCATGAACACGGGACGTAATTAGCGATGAACATGTGGAGGAAGAAGTGGAGCTATAAAAAGCTAAAGTATGCAAAGTTATACACGTTTTGCATTTGTTCAGTCCTTCAGTAAATATGGTCTTTGTGTAGCCTTTGACTTTTTCACACCGTTTCATGACCGTTGGATTAAATTTGCATTAAAGTGCAATCATTCTCCACTTGCACAATGTGCTCTTGAAGTGGTCTTCATGTTATTCTGTTATTGTCATGTTATTCCACGTTTCATCTATAAAACATATCGTACAGTAGTGCTTCGCATTTCAGTCTTTGAGTGTTTGCAAAACTGTCTGTGATCATAACAATGATAAATAAAACTCCTTATGATGCTTGCAACCTTATATTAATTGTAGATTTCCTATTCAACTAATTTGTGCCTTGAACCATAAAAAGAAAACAGATCTAAAACTGGCAAACAGTAAATAATAATAATAATAATAATAATAATAATAATAATAATAATAATAATAATAATAATAATGTCAAACATAGTTCACTGACAGATTACAGACCAGTCTCTTGGTGGCCCGTTTTCCTTTAGACTATGTCTATTTAAAAAATCCAAACAATGCATAGAAAGATTGCTTAATTAAATTCACCAAAGTGGGTGTAATATTCATAAATATGAAATAATTCGAAGGGTGTCCTCATGACTTTACAGATGGATGTTTCAAGAACAAAAAGAAAAAAGTTGTTTTAACTATTTCACCTGACTTGAATCCAACAAAACACCTTCAAGGTATTTAAAAGAAATGTAAAGTAACAAACCCCTTCCAGGAAAGAGATTGTTATCAAAATGTCTTTGAGCAATGACATGACGTTGTTCTTCAACACAGGTACTCTCCATGTACTTATAATAAGCAAACCCCCACCTCACCCACTCTGATCACCTTTCTGTTACGCTTGAGCCTGCTTACAAACCATTCTGGAAGTGCAGCAGACCATTGAGAAAACAGACCAGGATCTGGCAGCCTCAGCACAGCCTCGGCACTAAAGACTGCTTTAGGAACACCGAATGGGGGGTGTTCAAGACAGCAGCCTCGCAGGGAGACCAGATAAACATAGAGCACGCAGAGGCAGTAAACAGCTACATTGCTAAGAGGATGTCACTGTAGTTAAGGCCTTCACTGCACGTGGCAACCAGAGACCCTGGTGGAGCATGAGACTGCTCTCCCTGTGGCCAGGTCTGCGAGAGACACCTCTGCGAGACAGGAAACACCAGATGAACATGGCAGGGAGTACAGGCACTGATGAATTGCAAGGGGTCAATAAAGATGATGCTTCTCTTCCGGACAAGTTTAATAACTTCTTTGCATGCTTCCAGGCATCAAACCAAACATACAGAGGGAAAGTGGGTTCTCCTCCATTATCTGCAGGGCCAGCTGTTATCATAAGTGCAGCAGATACCAGAGGACCCTAGCCAGGGTCAACCCACGGAAAGCTGCAGGTCCAGATAACATCCCAGGACATGTGCTCAGGGACTGCACTGGTGAGCTGGCACATGTCCTAAATGATATTTTTAACATCTCCCTCAGTCACGCCAACTGTGATGAAGTGTTTTGAACAGCTTATCAAACCACACATCACAGCCACCCTTCCTGCATCAATTGACCTGCTCCAGTTTGCTTATCATCCTAACCACTCCACAGAGGATGCATTAACCACCACCTTGCACTCAGACATCCCCCATCTGGACCTATGCCATACTCCAATATATTGATTTTAGCTCAGTGTTTAACACCACCATTCCACAGAGACTACTAGAGAAACTCCACTTACTGGGGCTGAACACCACACATGTCTTGGGAGAAACATCTCCAAACCCACCATGCTGAGCGCTGGATCTCCTCAAGGATGTGTTCTCAGGCCACTGTTGTTCATGCTGTTAACACATGACTGTGTATCCAGATATGAGGGGAAGCTAGTTATTAAGTTTGAAGATGATATCACAGTGGTGGGACTGATTTGCAGAAATGATGAATCAATGTACAGGAAAGAAGTTGAACGTCTTGTGGGCTGGTGTAGAGTGAATAATCTGGAAGATACGGATCCAGCACGCTCCTCTCAGTATCAGCGACTGCCCAGTGGAGAGAGTAGAAGACATCAGGTTCTTAGGTGTTCAGATCTCGAAGCACCTGAGCTGGGACAAGAGCATCTCAGTGATCAGAAAATGGGCCCAGCAGGGACTGGGTGAAACAAGCCTCTGTCCCCTCCAGCATCCTCAGGACTTTTTGACAGAGGCATGTTCTGACATACGGTACATGTATATCAGCGTGGTATTCCAACTGCAGTATGTCAGACAAAACAGCACTGCAGAGGATAGTTAGAGCAGCTCAGAAGGCCCTTGGAGTTTCCCTCCCCTCTGTCCAAGAGCTTTTCGAGAGCCACAGCAGGAGCAGTGCACTGAAAATGGTGAATGACTCCTCACACTCCCTCAATTCTTTGAACTGTTGCCATCAGGCAAACGGTTATAGCTGTTGGAGGAAGCCTCCAACAGCTTCCTCCCACAAGCTGTTAGAATGCTGAACTGTTGATTTGGTTATGTACAGTACTATACCCAGCAGTCTTTAGAATTAGTTTTAATTAGTTATCTTTCTTACTCAGTTCTTTATTTATATAGTTATCTTTTTTTTTCTTTTAAAGAGACTATTTTACAGTGATGCATCTGGGATGCATGTGTGTCTGATTGTGCAGAGTGGGGTGTTTCCATGATGTTTGTGTGTGTGTGCGTGTGTTCTAATATTTTTAAGACCCTGAACAAACACCCTTTCATTTTGCCTGCACTACGGCGGTATGAACAGCAAATTGAGAATTTAACATTTAACAAGCTAAATGAGGCCTGTAGAGTCTGAGCTGTAGCTCATATATCAAAGTTTCTCTAAGCATTACTCCTTGGGGAAAATTTGCTGGGATGTCCTCTCATAGTAACGCTATGACGTATTTTCCACTTGTGACTGACTAATCTTTCTCAGCGTAGAATGATGAGCTTCAAAATGTTTAGAAATATCCTTTACAAACTTCCAAGACTGTTGGAACAAGTGCTTCTTCGAGATCATTGCTGATGTCCTTCCACCATGGCACTGCATTAACACACACCTGAAAGCTCCAGAGCAGGGAACGGCCAAAACTTCTACTTTTATAGAGGTGCTCACACTTGCTGATGATCAGCTATTCAAGTGCATTTGATTAGCAGCTGCTTAGCCTCTTAATTCCTATGGAGGCAGTAATGATGTACTTTTTTTCACACTCTTTTTGTATTTTGTGTAGCAAGTTATGTTTTGTTATTTATCTGAGATAATATTTATCTAATTTCAAGACGTGTTTAAGACCAGATCATTTTTTATTAACTCCTGATCCATAAAACCTACTGCCAATCAACATTATTATTTCTGGGGTGTATTTTCCCAACAACTGTAAATAAATAACATTTCAAAGTTTATGATGCAATTATAAGTTTTTGTTTTTTCGACATGGGCAACAGACTGGGGACCGGTCGAGGGTGTCCACTGCCTTTTGCACTAAGACTTAATTTGTCTGCACTTTTGGGTTTTGATCAACCAGACAGGTAGCAATTACAACAAGAATGACCAAAATAGGCATGACTTTATTTTTCTTCTCCAAAACTGCAGCATAAACTAAAAATCAATATGAAAACACACAATAAAAAATAAAATTAGCACTAAAATGAACACAATAAACAACAGTTTGGATTTCACTCGTGGATCAACTGTGAGTAAAAACAAACAAACAAACAAACAAACAAAAAAAAAAGGGAAGTGTGTCATTCACAAGGTTGCATGTTGAGCTAAAAAAGCTCTGATTCTCTGGAGGAGTTCTTTCTTCACACTGTCTGGTACAAGTGCTGCAGAGGAAAGAGATGAAGAGAGGTAAGTCAGAACACAAAATAGAAACTTACATACTCACACAACACGATACTTTTATTGTCAGAAGTTGTCATCCTGTCAGCTGTTTCTAATATTTTTTCTATGTATGTTATAGTGTTGGCCTGGTAGATAAAATGACTTTTAAGAGGCACCAGCTCCTTCTAAAACTTCCTACGAAGCTCAGAAACATTTCCAGAAATCACCATGCCATGCACGAATAATGGTTAATATCCAATATGCCCAAATAATGGAAAATGATCCAGAAACACTGCCATCTTCTTTAGGCTAAAGCTCACTTAAAATGACTGAGACATCTTCAATGTCAATGTCAAGGCAGTCAATGTCCAAAGACAAACTCTGAAAGATCTTCAGAAAGTCTGAAGAACTACTACTGAAGACCACTTCAAAACAGTTTAGAGAAAATACAGCGTCTGGCTCCTTGGAAGAAAAATATAAAGGAGTGAGGGGTGGTTCAAGACTGTATATCAGGGAAACCTGAAATTGTAAGAGCTGTAATCAATAAGTAGTGCTGACCTACAACATTAGCAGTTTGTTAGTTAGCATGCACAAAGATGTATTAAAGATTATGTGCAGTGCTAAATAAATAAATTGACTTGTACATCTAAACCAACGATGCAAATGAGTATGCTCATCACTTCTAACAGTCTTCCTCCCCCTGCTGTTGCGTTTGAACATCTGTACTGTACCTCTGCCTTTTGGTGTGACCTCTGTGACCAGGTCCTCCACTGTGACATGCTCCAGGCCCTTTTCTCTGATCACATCTGGCTCAAACGGGAGGTAATGACTTTAGTGACTTTTGTTTTTATAGCACCACGACAGCATCACCGGACACAAACATAAGAACAAGTCAAATACCTTTGCAGTGTGCTTTCAGCTGATCCTTCCACCCACACTCCACCAGCTTCGCTCTGAGCAACTCTTTCAACCTGCGGCCACACATTTAATTCACATTATGTGGCTTAATCTGTGCAATTCAAAACCACGCCAAACCATCCAGCATCAAATCACTGCAGCGAAAGACTCGCTTACCGCTCCCGTTCCCCCATCTCTATCAGCTTCTGATTTATTGCAGCCCTCATCTGGGAATCTTTGCTCATGATCCGCCTGAAATTAAACACACACACCGACACAGTCAGCTCGGAAGAAAGAGAGTAATAAAAACATATATTATAATGTCTAATTTAGCCCCCTATCAGGTAGCCGCTACCGTTATCGAGAAGGATCAGCTGGGGAACATAAGGTCCCTTTACGCAACTGAACCGTCTAAAAACGTTCAACGCTTAAAAGTTCCGGCTTTGGAGCGGTTAATCTTTCAACGTCAACCTGAATAACCAATGATAGTCTCATTAGTGTTCAAAATACCTGTTTAATAACAACAAATATAATACAATACATTTAAACTGAAAACACTACATTAAAACAGTTACTTAAGCATTTCAAGAGAAATTAGCTCAGGACTCAACTTCCCCTGCGCCCTGGGAGGTTTTGTCCGCCGTAAAATAGCTCCGTGTGAGAAAACAATGACGAAAACACAGGAAATGTGTATCACGCTGGCTACACCTCACCCTCCTCCTCTTGCTGCATACAGGCTGTCATCAACTTGTCAATAAGCCAGTCTCATTGAAAAAGACATGACTGCGTCTAACTACTCATTAAAGGTCAACAGAGACCTGCTGGACCCAAACTTTGAGAGTTACAGGTTATCCTTGGACGCCATACCGACGTACAACATAGAGCTGGATGCTGGTGAGAAAAACTTAATGCAGTGCAGTTAGCAAGTGTGCTAGCCTAGCCCTGATAAAGGTCCAGTATAACTTCTGTCCAGTATAACATTAAATAGGAATAGCAATGTAAGTTATTTGACATTATCTCAGACATTTTATTAGCTGCCACTACGTGACGACGTCAGCTGTTGATGCTACATAATATTTTGGCAGCTGTATCTGTAGCTCAGTGGCTCAGAATGAGATCTTAAGGCCCACCACTGTAACCTAATGAGCTTTCACATGATCACTAAGAAAAATCTGAACAATAGCATTGTTTAAACCACTGAAAATTAACAGATTAACGCTGAAGTGACTAATTACTACAGTTTGAACTGCATACACATACATAACTCATTTATATTGCCAGGACAAGTCAAGTGCACCAATTTTAAATAACTTAAAAACAATCATAGGGAGCTTGCACCTACTTTACGTTATAAGGTTAGTTTTGTAATACGTGTTTTAACTTCAAGATCTTAACTTAAGTTTGAACAATACTAAATTGGTGGGGCTGCTGATCCAGAAATGTACTTTAGTGATTAAAACGATATTTTGCATAATCATATACCAAAGCTTGCTAATTCCTTTTAATCGAAACAGGCCAGCTGAGCTCACCTGAGTTGCATCCAGGTGTTTTCTACTACGTCTCTTATCCAGATTATAAAACAGCTAGTGTGGGCCAAAAATCAAGAATCTATGAAGTGTGTGCCTAACAGGAGAATTCATTATAACATTGGTTTGGATACAGTCTTACTTATATAAAAAGGTGCTTACACTTTGCACAGACATCCACTCACAGTAGATGCAGGTATGCATATTACAAGGTGATTAATGTGCTTTAAAAAACAACAACAATACTTTATTTAGTGGGAATAATTCAGACAAATAGTAGCTGTAAAAATAGTTAATTGCAGTTTTTTTGTCACCAATAGTTCATCTTAGAGTAAAATGTTGAAATATTAAGATATGTTAAGACATATGTAACACTTTCCACAAAGCAACTGTAGGAAAGGCAGAAGGTTAAACTGCTTTTTAAGTAAAAACATAAATAACAGAAATTTGATTACTGCCATATTTAATCTTTTCTTTTTCATATCTGCCGCAGCCGTGGAGGAGGTCAAGCTGAAGGATACTCAGTACACCCTGGAACACATGCGTGCCTTTGGCATGTATAATTACCTGCATTTAGACCCCTGGTATGAGGACAGTGTTTACTTTGTGGACTGCAAAGGACGGGTCCTTAATCTCACCGTTACGCTGGTGAGTTTGCAAATCCTCTTGTTTTTTGGCCTATTTATGATTGTTGCCCCTCCATTGACGTCTAAGGTGTATTCACAACTGCACTATTTTTACGTGATGCTGCTCATTGTTCCACACATGAACATGGTAAGTGTGCTCAGTTTGCTTGGAGTTTTTCCTACGCAAAAAGAAACCAAACAAACAAAAACACAAGTATGTAATGTCATCGTGGCTCAAGAGTTGGGAGTTCGCCTGTAATCGGAAGGTTGCCGGTTTGAGCCCCGGCTTGGACAGTCTCGGTCGTTTTGTCCTTGGGCAAGACACTTCACCCGTTGCCTACTGGTGGTGGTCAGAGGGCCCGGTGGCGCCAGTGTCCGGCAGCCTCGCCTCTGTCAGTGCGCCCCAGGGTGGCTGTGGCTACAATGTAGCTTGCCATCACCAGTGTGTGTGAATGGGTGGATGACTGGATGTGTAAAAGGTCTAGTAAAGTGCTATACAAATACAGGCACCTTGAAAACAAACAAACATATAAACATTAATGTTTACGCTCTGTTCGCATCATTTGGTTGGTCTGTTTGTGGCGTTCCAAACACGTGTTGCCCTCAGGTTGACAAAACTTTACAACACTCATGGTTGAAAGGGCCTTTCTTCTGTCTCTTCCGTACTTTTTAAATGTACGTTTATTGGTTTTTATAATTACAGATACTGATATATTGGTAAATAGCTAATACATAATATATCAGCCCTGACAGCGTATTAATCAGGGTCTACTTAGGAGTTCCCTAAGCAGAGGAGAAACTGGCAGAAAGAAGAAGCTTTGCCACTTTTTTTTCATCCTGGTGATTAAATAAAGTCTTTGCGCTTTGCATAATAAGGTTAATTTATCTTTTTAGGCGTTAGAGGAATAAAATTTAATGTAACACTTAAGACAAACTGAGTAGTTAAAGCATTACACTGTGTGGTTAATTACAGCTGACTAATGGTAGTTAACTTGCCAGCATAATAACAGTTTGGTTTGTCAGCTGTAGAAAAAACGAGCCACAGGTCAATCATGTGCATACATTAGTGCCATTAGTATGTGCTCCAAATTCAGAATAACAGTGAGGTAATTAAAGCTGCTGGTTACATGTTTCATGGGTAAAGATTCTAGTCAGTATTCTGTTACATCTTATAATAAACCCAGCATTGACAAAGTCATCATAGCTAAAGTGTTTCGGAGCTGGAAAAATGCAAGTTGGGTCTACTCGACCTTCATCAGCAGAGCAACACGCTGATAGCTTTCACAGCCTCATGCTGTGAAGCAGTTTATTTTATTTTTCACATCGTAGAGCATTCACAGACATGATGAGCTCCCATGTATTATAACAGTAAATCGTAGAAGCTGAAGAATTTTATTTATTATAATAATTTAGATCAAGGATTAAATTTACCATCATGACAAATGGATTTAACCTGAAATCTAACTCTCACCATGTGAATTTATGTAATCGAGAGTTTTCCTAAATCACTTCTAAGTTTGGAGTCTTTGCAAATGATTTTAGGCAAATTTAGGTCTTTGTTTTATAGTATTGTTTTATGTTTCCATTATATAACGTTTCATATTATGGACCTGATGTTGTGATGGTGTATTCAGTGAAGGATTTTTATGCGCCTGATGTGCCAGTAGGTGGTGACCAAACACTTGAGCATCAGCAGGTTGTGGGAAGAGAAAGGATGTCTGTGAAACACAAGAGTTTTAAAAGTTATGTTAAATTATATAACATTATTTCTAACCTCTTTTTATTCTTGGTCAAGATGCAAAATAATAAATGTCAGAATAAACGTGGCTCTTAGTATTTAGTGTGAACCACAACTTTCTGTGCAGTCTTTTGTCTGTCGTATGAATCACCCGAGCACATAAAGTTTGGATGAGCCCTTGTAGGTCTCCAGTTAATCACAGGAGCGATTATATAATTGACTCAAGGTTCTGATTGGTATTGTTACCCCGTACCAAGATGTTGAGATGAGGAGCAAAATCGTTCTCATGACCTTTTCCACCGAGCCTTCTTTTATGTCTTAGTCATCATTGACCATAATTAGACATAATTGGTGTCTCACTGGAGTTTTTTTCTTTGATGATCATCACACTGTAATCCTGCGAGACAGTGTTTCTGGTTTTCAGTGGCACCATTAAATGAAATTTATGGAAAAGTGTTGCTCAAATTCTAATTACAGTGATCACATGATAATTATCATCCTTCAGCCTTTTGTGCTCGGTTGCTCGGCACATTGCACATAGACGTTTCACACTCCGTTTCAGGGCATTAACGGCACGGATGCTGGAGAAAGTGATACCAAAGGTGTAGCGATATAATGTGCCGTGCCACGCTCCATGGCAACAACGGGGTAGCTTCTCCACAGTCCTTTTGAAAAACTCTGTCTTCACGCAATTTGTGATGCTCTTTGTGATTCATGACTGGACTTCTTATTGTTTGATTGGATGTTAGCTGTAAGAGTGCATGCATCACATATTTCCCAGTATCCTACAATATTTTCTAATGCTAAACTGAAGTGGTGACAAAATCAGTTTTGCCATGTTGTTCTCCATCTAGAGCACTGAAATGAGCTTACTTGATATCCGGTCTTTATTCCATTCATCCATCCCTCCTCCCCTTAACAGTCAAGCAGTACAGTAATTGGTGTTAACATATTATAAATGTATTTTTTTAGTGTTAACTGGACAGAACATGCACTTTGAGATATTAAAATAGGCATTTTTCTGTTGTTTCTGAAATTTGATGCACTGACTTAATCAAGTAATCAAATACACAATGACTTTGTTTCATTCTCATACACCAGCACACTGAGATTTCCTCTGCAGATAGGAATGAATCTAAATGGCCTAATCTTTTTTTATGAATGCAGTACTGGCTTACGGGTCTGTTGTGTTCTGAATTCAGGACACCGCCCTGGGGAAGCCGAGAGAGGTCTACCGTGTAGACGTCGAGTCCAGCCAGTGTGAGGATCGTCTTTGCGCCTCCCTCAGCCTGACCTCGGCGACCTGGGCAGCTCTGTCGGATGGTAGCGGTCGACTGTACCTCCTCCGCACAGGCAAGAGGGGAGACAGCTCCCATATGAAGTGGGAAGTAAGTATGGACGTGGTGTTTACTGCTGTAAGTGACGCACAGACGTGTTTGAAATATTTTTTGCCGCT